GTCACCCTGCCACCCCTCCTTGGGAAATCAACCACCTGGTCACTTTGGTGACGGTCGTGGCCCTGGGAAGGGGTCTCGGGCGGGAGGGCAACGGCAACGGTGAAGGGGCCCAAGGACACAAATAAATACACACAAATAAAATCATTTTTTATATTTCCCAATATGTTCTGGGTTTCTGTCTTCCCGCCCACTTCCCATACTTTCCCATATTTTCTGGGAGATCGAGGATCCATTGTGTCTGTGTGCTTCTCTTCCTCCTGAAGCGGGGCGGCCGCGGCGTGCAGCTGCCCGGGTGCGCCCGCGCCACCCTCGCAGCAGTCGCCTGTGCACCGCAGCATGCAGCGTCGGGGGCGCGCAAAGACGGATCAGCGATCCATGAGGAGGACGAGGAGGAGGGGGACGAGGAGGAGGAGGAGGAGGAAGAGGAGGAGGGAGGGAGGGAGGGAGGGAGGAAGGATCGCACGCTCCTGAGGGGAAAGAGAGAAGGGACTTGGCGCGCGGTCGCCAAATCCATGGATCGGGGGAGGTGCCCTCCCCAACATGCGGCCGGTGCCGCCTCGATCTCGGCGGCGGGAATCCGCGATTTCCAGTGGGAACGGGACCCGTCGCTAATCCACGCCCCCTCGATCCATGTTTGCGATCGCCAGACTTCCGCCCGACCTGAACAATCCTCGCCGCCTGGCCTTCGGGTCATAACTCGGACCGCCGACGGCCGCTCGGGACGGTTCGGGCACCACCGGGATGCCCTCGGCGAGGCGCAGCTGCTCATAGGGCGCATCCCGAAGCTGGAAAACCGCCGAGAACCGACGAACGCCCAGAGACTGTTTGCAATCTTGTTGCGTCGGCGCCGAGGCGCTCCATGGTTGCGATCGCCTGATAGGGGGGGCCCATGCCCCCCCCCCCAATATGATCGTCAGCGTTACCCAGGGGGGGCGAGAGGCCCGCCCGGGCAAGGGGCGTTACCCTGGGGAGGAACAGCAAAAAAGCTCCCTTTTCCCCCTGACACGCTGCCCCCCCTGGTCACCCTTCGGCGGCGAGCGACGGGGGGAAAAGAGAAGGAGAAGGCCTTCTCAGAAAGTTCGGAAGTCCCCCGTCCTTCTGAGACGTTTTCGAAGCCTTCCCCGAAGACGAAAAAAAAAACTCTCAGAAGGCGCGAGGGCTTCTGAGAAGTCTCGCCGCCTTCTGAGAGGGCCTTGTCCTTCTCACTTCCCCACCTCGCTCGCCGCCGAACCCTGTCACCCTTCTCCCCCTGGTCCCCCCTCCGGGGGAAACAACCACAAAAAGGCTCCTGACCCTCAGGCCAAGCACAATGGCACGACTCTTGACGAATTCACTGTCATGGGGGTCGGCGGAATGGCGTAAGCCTCTCGAGCACCGATACCGCTATTCCACGGAACTCTCCCGGGGTGCGTTCTGACCAGGACTTCGCGGCGAATCCAGCCGTGGCGACGAGAGCTAACCCAGAGGCCCCGGCGGGCGAAAACAAGGGAAGGGTAGCGGTGTCGGTACCGTCTCCTTCTCTGAATGCCTCCTCAGCATGAGCCTTGACCGCATCCTCGTACCCTTCCCCCTCCTCACCCTCACACCCGCCGCTGCCCGTCGCCCGACCAGGGGCCGAAGGCATGCTGCGATCAGGGCCAGGCCAAATCGAAGAGCGGGGGGGCAAGCCCACCTCGACGACCCCCGTCGAGTCGGCGCCCCCTCCAAACCCAGCCCATCCTACTCCTAGTCCCAAATCCCCCTCTCCCTCCCCCTCTCCGTCCTCCTCCTTCTCCTCCCCCTCCCCCTCCTCCTCCTCCTCCTCCTCTTTTTTTGACCTCGCACCGCCATGCCTCCGAGACTGGACTGCCATGCGCTGAGCCGAGACACACACAGAGCATGGCCACGGCCGCGCCACGGTCGGGGCCGTGCCCCCGTGGCGCGACCTAAGCGCGACCAGGGAGCGCAGGAGACCGTGCTCCGCGCTCCCTGGTCGGGGTAGGGGGCGCAAGAGCACGTGCTCCGCGCCAACCCTACCCACCGCCCACTCCATGGGAGGCCGCGATTTCGGACCCCGGGACCCCGACACGACACGACACGACACGACAGGGGGACGAAACGAACGACACGACACGAACGACACGACACGAACGAGCGACACGACAGGGACGGGCCGCCGACCCCGCCCCAGGGCGGCGAGTGCTGGGGGGGAACCCAGCACCGCCCTGGGGAAGCACACGGGGCCTGGCGACCCCCCCGGGGGAAGGAAACCGCGCTTTGGCGGCGTCCCCCGGGGTGCGGGGGCTTTTCGCCCCTCGGGCCCGGCGCTCCCCGCCTGCGCCAGGGGGACCCTAGGGTCCCGACCCCTCCCCTACGGGAGGGGCCCCCTCGGGGCTCCTCCTCCTACTCCTCTTCCTCCTCCTCCTCCTCCTCCCCTCCTCCTCCGGTTGATCCGCGGCGTTGGAATCCTGAGAATAATGTTTTGGCATGCTTCAGAATCTTCAAATGGTCGTCTTCCGACGAGGCAGTACCCTCAATGGAGATGAACCGTGTAGGAGCCTATGAAGAGGGAGCTTGGAGGGAGGGTGCATTCCAACACCGTTGATGACTCGTGGGGTTTACACTGGTCCTCCTCCCTCTCCTCCTCCTCCTCCTCCTCCTCCTCCTCTCCTCCTCCTCCTCCTCCTCCTCCTCCTCCTCCTCCCTCCTCCTCCTCCTCCTCCTCCTCCCCCACTGCCCGCCGCCGAGCAGGAGCCGAATGTCTGCCGTGCCGAGGGCCTCCTCCTAAGGGGGATTGGGCTAGGAGGAGGCCCTCGGCACGGCAGACATTCGGCTCCTGCTCGGGCGGCGGGCAGTGGGGGAGGAGGAGGAGGAGGAGGAGGAGGAGGAGGAGGAGGAGGAGGAGGAGGAGGAGGAGGAAGAGGAGGAGGAGGAGGAGGAGGAGGAGGAGGACCAGTGTAAACCCAAGAGTCATCAACGGTGTTGGAATAAACCCTCCCTCCAGGCTCCCTCTTCATATACTCCTCCTTCACCTCCTATTCTGAGGGCGACTGGCTCATTGGGGGGCGCCGACCTGGAGTCGGGCGACACGTCGGGCATGTCCCCCTACAGGCTGATTTTGAACGAGAAATAAGAAGTACCACAAAAGATCAAAAATTGAAAGAAAAAAATGATGGCAAACATCGTCGCCTGACTACTTGTTGACTAGTTTTGATTATCCCGCCTGCAGTGGGACAGGCCCGACTTAAGGCTATCGGGCCCATCTCGGCGATGACTGGGCGATTGGGTGGTCGATGCGTCCACCCCCGAGCCCATCCCACCCTTGCTCCGAAAACGGCTGCAGGCTGAGGGACAGTGTCGGATCAAGAACATCGGGAACCTCTGAGCTCCGGCGGCTCTGGACGACGTGTCAGGCGCCGCGGCCTTCCCAGGGAGCGTTCCAGAGAACGCTCCGAAAGCGTGCGGGAACGCCCTGGAGCGATGTGTCCCGACCCTGGACCGTGTTGTACTAATTTCCCTGCCCCTCTTCCGCCGATCCAGTTTGTCCCCATCCTCCGCTCGTCCTCGAGGAAGAGGAGGAGGAGGAGGAGGAGGAGGAGAAGGAGGAGGTCCTCCCGCCCCACCCTTCGCTTGTGCACGCCTGCACGCATCCGCCGCGCTCCCCCCCCCCCCTGCGGCCGGGGGCTCTCCTCCGGCTCCGTCGCCGCCCCCCAGCTGGGAGCACGACTGGAAGACCGCGCCGATGACGCGCCAGATCACCTCCAGGCAAAAAACGCAGAGCGGCACGACCAATGCTGGAACATGCTCTGGCTATCTTAACCTTTTCGTCCGACATCCTGCTGTAGGAGGACCTGCCCGACCTAGCAGCAGGGAAACTCACAGCGGCACGAGCATAACAAACGCGGAGGTCTGCGCAGATCCCTTGCATCGGCGCTGGCCCTCCTTCCTGGCGCGCTGGACGCGCGCCCGGGCCCCGGCGCCGACCCAAGGAAGCATTGTCGCGGGGCTCCGGACGTGTCATCACGTCAGTGCAGCGTTCCTCCCGCCGGGCTGCGAGGAGCCGCCCCCGGCGCTCTCCCGGGACTTGCCGTCGCTCGGACGTCCATTTCCCGTGCATTTGTCGGTTTCGCGCGTGTTTTTTTTGCTGGTCCAGGATGGTCCTCGATGGTTCTCGCCGAGAAAAAATGCACACGTCCGAGCGGTGCCAAGGGGAACGATCCAGGACCCCTCCCTGGCGGAGATGACCTGCGCGCGGCGCTAACATCCGGCTGTCGCGCGCACATCATCGCCGCCGGGGGGTCGAGGCTTGCCATGGGGGGGAGGGGGGGGTCGACGACGGGGGCGGGGCTCTCTACCAGACCACCCCAACCCAACCCGAAGACCCGAATTTCGGGTTGGGGGGGGGTACGGGCCTCAGATGTGTTTTTTCCATGTTCCCCGAAGCCCCCCCCCCTCACTGGAAATGGAGGGCAAATCGGGGCCTTCGGGTTGGGTTGGGGTGGTTTGGGGGGAGACGGGGGCGGTTTCCTCAACCTTCGCTGGCAAGTGCCTCTTCCTTCGCCCGTGGCCTCGCAGAGCGGCTGGTACAGGGTGGTGATCTGGATGGGGGTCTCCGCCTGGATGATGCGGGTCCGGAAGCGTTTCGCAAACAGCTGGACCTCGGGCGAGCGCCGCTCTCTCATGAGAGATACTAATGCATTAGATCCTCCTCGGATGCGCGCGTCCGACCCGAACACATAGTATAACCATATTGTAGTATATCGTTTCCCGAGCGGGGTGGCCAGAAAGCGCCCGCCACGACGCATGTACTATAATATTCCTCGGTGCGCGCCTTCAGGCGGGGCGAAGCACATATAATACTAGTATGCTGGAGGGGAGCCGATCTCACGCATGGGGGCCATAGAGGCTTGGCTGACCCACCGTGGACGGAAATAGTAACGCGCAAACAGTGCATGACGTTGGGGGTTCATCGCCGCCCAGAGGCCGCGAGTTCCCCGCTTGGCACGTGGCATATACAGCAATGGCGTAAGTACGCGAACCGCAGGTGCAGATTGTTGAGCCAGCGGTCGTTGCTGTTTGGGCCGCGTTCCATGCCTTTGACTTGCGGGAAATGAATTACAGACTTTCTGAATCGGTTCCGCGGCAACTGTTTCCACCCACGCTAGTTTCCATGTGAAGGGACCTCCTCTACCCGTAGGGAGAAACGACTGGCCTATTCTGAAGGAGTTGAAGGCACCTACGCCTTCAACACACAAAACATTCTTGCATCTGTTAGAAATCAGACATGCGTTCAAAAGACCAGCTTGCAGAGTAGACAACGAGTTGTTGAAGGCAGATCTGCCTGCAATTAGTTGAATGCAGCCCCGCCATATTATGAAAGCAGATCTGCCCGACTTTGTGTAAAGTTTTCGACTGGACAACGAACATGTTGCCGAATTATGGGATGCATGGCGGGGGGGCGTCCAGCATCGATACAGGGCGCGACCGAATAGCCGCATTGGGGTGCAATGATCAGTGAGTTCCCCTTTACTTCTGCGCATCCGTTTTTTTGGGGGGGCTCAAGGACTGGGGCCGCAAGGTCGCCTGCGATCCGAGGCACAGGGGCCCTTCGGGGCCCAAGGGTAGCAAGGCCAATATCAGTTGGCGACCCCCTCCCGAACAATAAGCTGGGAGACGCCCTGCATCCATGACTCGTTCTTCTGACAGCACACAGCAGGTTCGATAGCCTCCCACGGGCCAGGCCGCTTGGCCTATCAGCTCGAGCGCGTGCCGTTCGCATCACGAGCCCGAGAAACAAAAAAAACAGACTGCACGTCAAATCCGCCGCGCCAATCGGGACGGGTCAAGGCCGATGGTGCGCTGCGCGCCGCATCCTGGATCCAGGAATGGCCAAGCCTGCGCTGCGAGACACAACTCCGAGTCGAGGTCGGGGAATCCCTGGGCAACGGCCTGGTTCGAAATACCAATTTGGACACCCTTTGCCTTTCTCGCATCCGCCTCAGAATCCTTCTGATGATGTTCATTATTCTCTTTCGCATCGTCCCCATTCCGTGTCCTCGTCATCCGTCGCCCGCAATGTGCCCTTTGTGTTTTTGTTCCTCCACTGGTTCCCAGCGAACGACACTGGAGGTAACGCGGCGCACCTTCCCTGGCGGAGGCAGGCTTCCCAACGCAACAACCAACGCAATCCGGGGACACACCAACATGGTTTCGGGATCCGTGGATGTGGCCCGTGGGCGCCACATCCACGGATCGAGGTACCCCCCGAGCATGAAGCACACGCCGTCCGATTTGGCGACGGAACGCGTCGGATGCGCGTGGGCACGGGGCCTGTCGCTAATCCGCGCGCCCTGTCCATGATGGCGCTTCTTTGAAGCGATCACAGCGGCGACACGCGGTCGGCATTGCCCCCCATCCAATGCCGATTGCACTCACGACCCGGCCCGCTGCCCGAAAAATCGGCGCGCAAAACTCCGGGAACCTTGCGATCGTGCTTTCCGGCTTTGCCACTGCCTTTTGATGCGAAAATGCATATGACAGCAGCTGTCCTACTCCAGCTACATTTGAATTTGCAATCCCATGCTGCAGGCGAAAGAATAAAAGAGTCCTCGTCGTCATCGAAAGACCCCGGCCCATGAAGAGGCTTTGCTGAGGCTCTGGGCCCCTACATTCAGTGGACTACGCTGCTTGTGAACAATTTGACGAGGTGTGTCCGTTTAGTATTTGTATGTAGTGAATTTCGGAAGAGCGGCGGCTGGAACCGACACCGTGGGCGACTGGAACGCTTTCCCTGTGAAAAACTGACTGCTGGAACCACCAATTTGTTGTCGGCGTAGGAGGCTGGAGCACGTTCCCTGGTAAGACTTTTGGTCTGGAGCTAACGCCATGGGCGGTAGGAACATTTTTCCTCAAAAATAAGTTGGGCCCTGGAACCACCCTTTCTGATCGGCATGGGCGGCTGGAACAGTTCATTGGTAACAAAAATTGGGGGCTGGGGCCGACACCGTGGGTGGCTGGAACATTCACCCTGGTAAAAAATGCGGGCTGCAACCATCCCTTCTTGTTGGCATAGGTAGCTGGAAAATTTCATCCCGCAAAAATAAAATCTGGAGCTTCACCCGGCTCCGGTCGTCGTCGTCGGTCGTCGTCGTCTCGGTCGTCGGTCGGTCGGTCGGGCTGTCGGTCGTCGTCTGTCATCATCGTCGTCGGTCGGTCGGCCGGTCGTCGTCGGTCGCCCTCGTTTCGGTAGGTCGGTCGGTCGGTCCGTCTGGTCGTCGGCGTCAGTCGGTCGGTCGGTCGGTCGGACGAGGTCGTCGGTCGTTGTCGTCTCGGGCAGATTCCTGGCTGCATCGCGCTTGCGCTGATTTGCTGGAGCCGACGCCACCGTGCCCTCTGAAAGCGCGCAACTGGAGAACATGACGTTGAGCCCAAAACCTGCCCGATATGGCATGATCATGAAACTCAACGACCATCAAGAGTTCACTGACTGCAGGAAACACTCAAGATTCATGGGTCGCCCAGCTGGTCTCAGAGGCGCACGTGCACGCCGCCGCCAGTGTGCGCAGGAGGGAGACGAGGGCCCGCTTCACCTGGTTCAACGCAGACACCATCCTTGCGAGCAGGGACGGCGCAGTGGCGACCGGGCACTTTTGATCCACAGCTCACAGCAACGAGACAACCACCATGATTGCCAATTTCGGAAATGATGGCGAACATGTCGACGGCGAGCCCTCGCCGCCGCTCCCAAGGCTTCGCGACGAATGCAACGCTCAGGGTTTCGCGGGACCCCTGCGCAACAGCGTGGGATGTTGGAAACCATTGCTTCTTCACGTCGGGATTCATTAACTACGTGGCACCCCGCTTAAGCAATAAAATAGGACACCGTCGGGGCGATCCCAGGTTCCCGCGCACGGGGTCTTCTCGCGAGGGCTTTGGGGAGGTGCGCGGGGGGGGGGCGCTGACTGCACTGGGAGAGCTCCCAGACATAGACGCTCATCGCGCGCGGGCGCAGTGCCCTGGTCGGGCCCCGCTGCCCACGTCGGAACGGAAAGCTGAATCTCGCCATCGCTCGGACGTCCACTCCCTGTGTTTTTTGTTCGGTGTCGTGCGTGTTTTTTTCGCCAAACGAGCAAGGATGCTCCTCGATGGCCCTCGCCGACGGAAAAACGCACACGTCCGAGCGATGCCGAGGAGTGGGGAAGGTGCTGTAGTACTATGCGTTCCCACTCAGAGGCGCACGTCCGAACCGAACACTGTACAGATGTTCTTGAACAGGGGCCGACCGTCCTGGCATCTCTATGGGCGTACCACGACATGTTCTCAGAACCCAGGAATGTTCTAGGAACAACAGCACTGCTCTTTGAGCATGACCCAACTGTGTGGCAAAACAGGACAGACTCAGCCAGAAATGTCCTAGGAACATCGCGTGCAAACCACACAAGGTTCTCAGAACACCCTTTGGTGGGCCTGCAGGCGAGCCAGGACGCTTCGCCACCGCCTGATGTCTGTAGGCCTTTGATCTGATCAGCACGGGCATCCCGTGGCACATCGGCACTCTGGCGGTGTGCCCGCGAGCGCCAGCCACGGAGCCGAGCTCAGAGGACTTCTGGGATCGCGCGCCGTGCCCTGGGGTCCGACGCACACGTGGTACAGTCATCGGCCCGACCGGAGGAACGATACTTTAGTAGTGGAAACAATTGGTTTTCAAAATGTCTGGTCGTTAGAAGCTCTGCGTGGCGACGCCCCCGTCGCCACGCGTGCCCTCTGCGTGCCTGCGGGGGCGCCGCCACGTAGAAGTACTGGAGACCGAGCATTTGGGGCGTTGCTACGCACGCCCTCTGCGTGGCTGCGACCATTTATTAAAACCCTCAAGCCAATTAAATTCACTAATAAAGTACATGAGGGACGAAGCCCCTTTGTCGTCCAAGGAATAACGCAGGCAGTCGGACTTGATTGGAGAGGACACGCGAGAGGACAGAAGACCCTTGCCGAGGGGCACGCTGCCACAGGAATGTAGGAGGCATGGGTCGCGAGACACAGGACACAAGGGTACCCTTGACTTGGCAGGGTCGGCCTACTGATCTGGGCCGACTGTAAGGAACGATCTATATATATATATATATATATATAATAAATAACGCACAAGGAGCGGTGAATAACGCATGCAAGCCTAAGGAACGACCGAGCCCCTTGTGAAAAGTAAGCGTGCCTTACTCAAGCCACTCACTGCACCGCCTATCCCAACGCTGACTTGCAACGCCAAGCGCCAGCCAAGGCTGCCGGGACGGAAGAGGTCCCCTAGAGGTCTCCGAAGGCCCCAACCAAGCCGAAGCACTCTGGCGCCTCGACCTCAAGCCAGAATCCGCCAACTCACAACAGGCGAGACGAAGCCCAGGCGAGTCCTGCCCCCGGCCGTCGCAGCACGATGCCCGCCAGGACCAACCTCTGGTGGCGGGGGTGCACTGTGCTAAGCGGTTCTGCTGTGCACCATGACGTTCGAGCTGCAGATCCTTTGAGAGAGCTCTGCGCCCGAGCCACGGCTGGGCGACAAACGGCCGAGGGAAACAATTACTGAACACTCCCCCTCCCCCCCAAACTCAAAGTTGGCACGCGCGGGGGAGACTGTGGTCGAGGTGCAACTCATCAGGGCCACCGCCAACTTTGAACATTGGGGGGAGGGGGAGGCGTTGACAGATGAATGTGGCATGAGTGTTCGCTATTTTTGTTCCGAGGCCTGTACTGCACGACGGGCTGAATTCCGCCTCCGGGGCCAGCTGGCCGCCGCCGTCGCCATCAAAGCGTGACGCCGCTCGCGGACGAGAGACCGACGGCGAGCCCGGCCAAGAGAAGCTACGCACGATTCGCCGTTAGCCATCGCCAAGAAAATAATCAGAAACCCGCCCCCCTATCTTTTCACTCTGTTTGCATATCCCTCCTGTAGAGGCACGTGCCCGACTTCACCCTGGGGGCGCCTCTCCTACTCCCGCCAGCTTCCGCCTGCGGAGCCTCCCTCCGCGCCACTCCCGCCGGCCTCCGCTGGCCTCCCGCCGCCTTCCGCCGAGGCAGCCATGCCACCTCCCTCGATCCTCGAGGGCCAGGCCCTGCCTGGACTGCCACCGATTCTCTTGCAGGGCTCCGGTCGTGACTTTTTACCGGCTCTGCATTCTTGCTCGCGGCCTCGGGCCTCCAGTCGGCGGCGCGCACAGAGGGGTAATTAGGGGGAGGGGGGAAAGGCTCCGCAGGAGGCTGCTTCTGAGAAGGCGCGGGCCTCACATCTGCAGGCAAGGCCCGCACCTTCCAAGGAGCAGCCTCCTTCTAGGACGCGTTCCCCCCTCCCCCTCCCCCCGTGTGCGCGTGGCCGATCCGGGGCGACCCCCTTCGAAGGAGAGAGAGAGCGGACCACCGCCAGCGCCCGAGGGGCGCACAGAGGGGGGGCTGTGGCACCCATCGGGTGCAGACAGTTCGGCAAGTCTTTGTTGGGAAACGCCTCGGCCTAGTAGCCCTGAGTGGCCTTCATCGGCCTTTCTTGCTGCATGTTTCGCGGACTCGGGTGGCCGTTTTAGTGGCTTTCTGTCGGCCTTCTAGTGGCTCGTGGCGTCACCCCACGGTGTGGTCACCGCTTCCTGGCCCCCGAATGGTCTCGATGAGCGCTGGCTATAAGTGCGGGACGATCCCGGCAATCTCGCCATCCGTTGTCAGGTGAGTGCTCAGGCCCGGGTTGCTCTGCAGCAGCTTGCGCCTTTCAGCGCCGCCGGCCGCGGGCGGAAGCTCTGCCCCCATCCCTCCCTTTCCCCCCGCCCCCTTGTGATCCAATCTGTTCCCCCACCCCCCCTCATCCCTGTTGCGGCTGATCCTCCCCCTCCTCCGCCTCCTCCTCCTCCTCCGCCTCTTCCTTCCGCATCCTCCTGCTCATCCTCCCTCCCATCCGCCACCTCCTCCTCCCCCTCCTCCTTCTCCGCCTCCTCCTCCTCGTCCTCCTCCGCCTCCTCCTCCTCCTCGTGCACCTCCTCCTCGTCCTCCTCCTCCTCCTCCTCCTCCTCCTCCTTGTCCACCTCCCCCAAAGTACACAGCTCCCTTCCTGCTTGCGCATGGCGCGAGGAGGCTTTTCTGCTGTTCGGAGTTCCAGGTCCGCTATATGACACCGTCGGCGGATGGAGGACCCATGCGAGCACTGGGAAGGGCTGGATGGGAGGGGTAAAGGACGGCAGACACGGCGCGGGCGCGCCCAGCTTGCCACCCCTCTCCATCCCCCCGGACCCCTTCGAGTAAAGTCGAGGCGTTGACCTAAGGAACCCTAAATAAGGAACGAGGCCTCTTTTTCCCATAAGTTTAACTTCGATTTCCAATCGAAACCCTAAGCAAAGCCAAAGGCGAACTGCAAAACAACTACATAACGAACGCCGAGCCCCTCCCCAACGAAAAGGGTTCCTTCCTCAGTGCCCCGACTGTAATGAACAAATCATGACGGGATGCTTTTCGCTACCTTAGCCCCCCCTCGGAGCCTTTTACCGGGCCTCGGGACCGTCAACAAACGACCCAGGATGAAAACCTGGTCCTGGGGAAGCGCGTTCAGACTTCGGGGGGTCGACGTTTCGAAAAAAATCACGACGTCGGGGGTCTGGGCCCCTGGACCCCGGTGGTCCTTGGGGCCTCCACAGGCCAGGCAGAAAGCTGCCAGAAGATAGCCCCCTGGAAGCGCGATCACTGGTCCTCGAAGACGTCTCATCCCAGTCCTCTTTTCTTGCTTGCAATACCGCTGCATCAACAGATCCGACTGGAGTAGAAAGGGGGAAGGCGAGAAGATCTTATGGTCGTATACCCCGTCTCGGTTTGCGCATGACGTGCGGGAGGACCATCAGAGGCGGAATCACTCAGACCAACTGCTTGCTTCCAACTCGTCCTCCGATAGGACTTGTCAGTCCGCGGCCCATAACTCCCAACCCCTTCCCAAAGGAGCAAATGTTCGTCGCGGATCAGGTGTTGATGGCCATGGAACCCACTGACGGAAGAGGAGGAGGAGCTGATGATTTGAATTCGATCATGGGTAACGCTTTGGGTGTGTTCCACGCATCTGTATTTTTCATTGATTGCAATGGTAGTCATTATGTTGAGATGTTGGGTGATGCGTCTTTTCTATGTACGTCTTTTCCATGCAAATTGCTTTCACGGGCTCAATATGATGTCGTGCTCGGAGTTCTGCCTTCCCCACCTACGGAGTCCTGGCATACTGTCCAGAGGACTATGGATGCAGCAGGCGAGCTTGAACGTTTTTCTGCGCAGCCGTGGGGCGGGCACAGGCTCAGCTCGTTTTGGGCCAAAAGGCTGCGCACGGAGAGTGCTGATATTCGAGCGTCCGCCCTACTTCTGGCTTCTTCCACTGCTGCGGGCGCCGCTGGATTGCTGCTGCATTCGGCTTCTGTGAACCGTGAGGCTGCCGAGGCCTGGAAGCTCGATGTGATGGCAGGCCTTGCCTCCTTGCCCGAAGCGAACTTGACGTGCTTCAACACTGGAGATTCTGGTGGAGCGGACTTCGCATTTGTGCAGGTCCTGGCGCTCACCTGTCCGCAGCTTTCAGCAGTCCTGCACCAGAGGGGCCTGGTCGCCCCGCCGAAGGTCGTCTTGGAAGGTGGCCAGCTGGCCCTACCGAGGCGTCTCCTGGAACTGCTGGGCGAGTCCCTGCTCGCGGCGCAGCCTGGCGTGGAAGGGCGGGAGCTTCGTGCGCTGGCCCCAGGACCTGGAGCTGGCAGCCCTTCTCGTCCCGCCCGGTCGCTTCTTCGAAGTGGGGGACGAAGAGGTCGAGGCCTGGGGTCAAAGAGGGATGCTCGCACCACTGAACCTATCTGCATATGCCCACCCCCTGGGGGACAACGTCCGCACTATGACTCGGGATGCCCCCCATAGGCGTGTGCGCTTGAAGGGCAGCGCACAGCGAGGTGAGAGGTAGAGCTACGCAGGCGGTGCCACCGGCCAGGCCTGCACCATCGTAGACATGGAAGCTGGTCGAGGGCTCGCTGGTCTCGCCTGTGGCCCTGTCGCGCACGGCGGGCGCCCAAGGCTGAGGCCACTGCCGGCGAGGTGGGTCGCCGTGCCGCCCACGTGCTGCACGCCCTCGGTGGGCACGCCGTCTCGCTGGCGGAGGTGCTGTGCGAGCCGGGTGGGCAACAGGGCGCTACCCAGGCGACCGCGCGGGCGCGCGGCCGCGTTGCATATGTTGACTCTTCAGGATTCGCCCCCTTGGGATGGGAGAGAGAGAAAGAGAGAGAGAGAGAGAGAAAAAAAAAGTGAGAAAGACAGAGAGAGAGAGAGAGAGAGAGAAGAGGAGGAGGAGGAGGAGGAGGAGGAGGAGGAGAGAGGAGAGCAGCAGGAGCAGCAGAGGAGGAGGAGGAGGAGCAGGAGAAGGAGGATGCAGCGCGCCGCTGCACGCCAAACTCCAGAGTGTAAAGGAAGGGGAGGAGGAGGAGGAGGAGGAGGAGGAGGAGGAGAGGAGGAGGACGAGGACGAGGGGGGAGGACGAGGGGGAGGGAGAGGGCGAGGAGGAGGAGGAGGAGGAGGAGGAGGAGCGGAAGGAGGAGCCGAGGAGAGACGGGAAGGATGAGGACGAGGAGGAGGAGGAGGAGGAGGAGGAGGAGGAGAAGGAGGAGGAGGAGGAGGAGGAGAAGGAGGAGGAGGGAGAGGGGGATGGGGAGGAGGAGGAGGAGGAGGAGGAGGAGGAGGAGGAGGAGGAGGAGGAGGAGGAGGAGGAGCAGCAGGAGCAGGAGGAGGAGGAGGAGGAGGAGGAGGGGGAGGGAAAGGAGGAGCGTGAGGGGGAGGGGGAGGCCGACGTCGATGAAGAGCGCCTCGGCTGACAAAAAAAGCGGTCGTCGGATGGCGGGGAGCCGTCGCTCCCCCCGCCCGCTTTTCCCCTCCTCGCGCCGAGAAGCACAGGGCAGCCTCTTCGGGGGGCCTCGTCTGTCCCGCCGCGCCGCGAGCCACGCCGAGTCCGTGTCAAACCCATGTCGAGCCCGTCGAATCCGTGTCGGTATCGAATCCGTATCGAAGCCGCGTCAAATCCACACCGGTCCTCGTCGAGCCTGCGCCGGAGCACAAAGGGAAAGGACAGGAAAGGTCTTCCGAAGATGCAAGGAAAGAAACACACAAACGTTCTGTGCTCATCACACTTCGCTGCGCACTTCTGGGGAAACCAAATGGTACCGATACTGCTACTCCCCGGTCCTCTCTTGGGGTGCTTTCTGACCAGAATCTCGAGGCGAATCCAGCGGTGGCGACGAGGGCCGCCCAGGAGGCCCAGAAAGGGGAACGCGAGGGAAAGGTAGAGGTGTGAATACCTTTTCCTCCTTTGACTCCTCATCTTGGGAGCGCAGAGGGGGTAGATGGAGGGGGAAGGCTTCCTAGAAGGAGGCCGCTGCTTAGAAGGGCCTTACATCTACAGACAAGGCCCGCACCTTCTGAGAAGCAGGCTCCTTCCAGGAAGCCTTCCTCCCCCCTCCCCCCTCCCCCCTGTGGTGAGCGTCTTTTTTATCCGGCGTTTCGACATTGGGCGGCATGCAAGGAGGGGTGGAGGGGAGGAGTCTGGCTCCGGACCTCTGCTTAATGCGACTGTTTGCAGAAGTGCGTCCTCTGGGGGAGACTCCACCTGCTCGAAATAGGCGCCAAAAAACAGCCAAGATCCACTCCATGGGGGGAGGAGGGGGGGGGGGGGGCGAAGGCCCACGCCGATCGAATAACAAGACACCCACCTGCGCGCCGCCGATCCTCGCTGTTTCAGCCGAGCCCGAGGGGCACCAGCAAGCAGCACCCGAGGGAGGGCAGCGGCGCCGGCAGTGGGCAGGCAGGGGGGGGCGGCGGGCGGAGGCTTGGGGGCGGAGGGGGGGCAGGAGGAGGAGGAGGAGGAGGAGGAGGAGGAGGAGGAGGAGGAGGAGGAGGGAGGAGGAGGCGGGGGAGGGGGGAGGCGGAGGAGGAGGAGGAGGAGGAGGAGGAGGAGGAGGAGGAGGAGGAGGAGAGGAGGCGGAGGAGGAGGAGGAGGAGGAGGAGGAAGATGAGGGGGCGGCGGGCGGAGGCTTGGGAGCGGAGGGGGGGCAGGGGCGGAGTGCAGCGGGCAGGCAGAGAGCGGCGCACGGTGAGCGGCGGGGCCAGGAGCAGACCGTCAGAACCGATGGCAAGGACGCGCCGCAGGGCTGCGAGCCCCGTGGGCGCGCACGGCGAGGCTCTTCGAGCGGGGCTGGCCATCGACGTGTTGGCGAAGGAGGGACCGACGAGGCACGAATGCAAGGCAAAACTTGGGGCGGTTGCCCATCCTTGCCAGCGGTTCCGACTGCACACGGTCCAGCTACGGTGAGGACGTGGAATAAGGAGCCAGTGGGTAAGGAAGCCAGGGTGTGGAGGCTGGCGGAACCCCAACTCAAGCTTGGCCACGGACATCGCCGCCGAACTCATGAGATCCTCCAGGGTCTGAAGCCTCCTGGGCACAGTCCCTGACGAACGCCCCCGCCGTACCACCTCACAGGTAGCGCCACATAGAGAACGGAGGAGGAGGAGGAGGAGGAGGAGGAGGAGGAGGAGGAGGAGGATTCTATGGGCAGTTGGCGCTCTGGCAGCAGCACGAGGTGCGCGCAGGACTTCGCTCGGCCGGGCGGCTCAGCGGCGAGCGACCCCGGCCACCGCGCGCGCCCAGCGCGGGTCACCGCCCCCGCAGTCGCGCGAGCCTCGACGCGAGCTCGTCGAGCCCGGCGTCCAGGCCGTCTGCCGTGCGCACCCAGTCCGCGCAGCAGAACTCCGCATGGGCCTCCAGCCGGCCGGCGACGCGCCCGTCCCCGAGCGGGCGGGCGGCGCCGAGGCCGGCGGCCGTGCCGCCCAGGTGGGCGGCCCACGCGATGGCGGGCAGCCGGGCGCGCAGCAGGAGGCGGCCGAGGGTGTTGGCCGCCGCGACGAGGTCGGCCACCTGCAGCATCGTCAGCTCCAGGCCCGGCACGGGCAGCAACATCCGGAAGCGCCTCGAGGGCTCGAGCAGGCCGTCGGCGGCCACCACGCCCATGAGCGCCCCGCGGAGCGCCGAGGACGGCGCTCCGCGGGTGGCACAGGGCGTGGCAGAGGGACGCGCCGACGCCCGACGTGGCGACAAGGCCGAGCAGCTCCGCATCCGACAGCTGCTCCGCCGCCAGGCCACCGAAGACGACCATGCCGCAGCAGTTGATGCCGCAGTGGGCCACCGACTGGTGCGAAGCCGTGCTCGTCAGCAGCGTGTGCACCCTGCCGGCGCGCAGGTGCGCTCGGCTGCACAGCGCGTGCGCCCGCAGCGCCCGCGCAATCGACTGGGCGAGATGGCCCCGCCGGTCCAGCTGCCACAGCGCCAGCAAGGCCGCGTTGGCGCCCAACGTCGCCAGAAGCGCGCGGCCCCCGGGCCGCGCTAGGCCCGCGCGCGACGCCGGCCCGCCGCCCGGGGCGCCATCCTGCGCCTCCGCGCAGGCGTTGGCCATGGGGGCGCCAGGGCGGCGCGCGGCCGCAGCGGCTGTCCGAGGGGCCACAGCTTGAGCCAAAACGGCTACGGAGGAGGAGGAGGAGGATGAGGAGGAGGATGTTCAAGAGGCTTCCAGGACGGCTCCAAGAACCCAAGGGGGGCTCCAAGAGGGGGGGAACTCGATGGGGGCCTCGAGAGCCCTCCCCCACAATACGACCCCCACGACCCCCAGCATGCATCCCAGAGGGCCCCAAGAAGGCCCCGAAGAAGATCCAAGAGGGCTCCCAGAAATTCCCAAAGGCCCTGACAAAAAGGCTCCCAACATGCCAGCCCCGAGGCCTGCAAGAGGCCCACCAGGAGCCCCACAGCATACGCCGAGAGAGAGGTCGACAGATCAGCAACCACCACACGCGGGCAACACGAAGGGACGCGGCTGACAATACGCACGAGCACGGAAGCCGAGCACCTCCTCTTTTTGGGGTTCCGGTGGAGAAGGGAGGAGCCCCTTGGCCTCGAGAGGATCCCGGGTGCGCGAGGGGCGGCAGAGGAACAACAGTGAAAGGCCCTAAGGAGCAGTGAACCACTGCTCGGCCCGAGCTGATACCTCCTTCTTTCAGCGTCGTGACTGCACCCCGCGCTGCCCCAAGCAGCCTTAGATCCCACACCGCCAGGCGGCCCGTTCTGGCCCCGACCCCGGTCGGGCCCGATCGCCTGAGATCCCGAGCGCCAGCAACTCGGAGGCCCGCTTCTGCTTACAACAGATAAATCACACAAGAGATCGGCCTGCCAGCGGGTGCTCCACGGAGATGTCTGATCCCGCAACGGCCCCAGGGACACACAGAGGCTCTGGGATACGTCAAGACCCTCCAAGAGATCGATGAAGAATAGGCCCCAGGATCCCCTATAGCAAGACATATTATCGTAGGTGTTTACTGTGCGCTACACTTGCGCCCTACCCGAGGCGACTGTGCGCTGCGTGCGGCAGCTACGCCTTTCCCGTGGCAGTTGCGCGATGACTCCGATGACCAGGAGCGGGCCTCTGAGAACCCGCACCCAGAAGCAAAACGCCTACTCCGGATTCCAGAATAAAGTGGGGGGGGTCACATTTTCTGGGGGTCTGATGTGAGTTGCCTTGGAGGGTTCAGGGGGGGGGGTATGGGCAGAGGGCCGCCCTTTCATGGATGGCCTGGGGGGGTCCAAAACTTCTCGTCTGGGAGGGTTGTGACCCCCTCCCCTTGATCACGAAATCTGGAGCACCTTGCACCTACCCGCGTGGCTGTCCCAGCAGCACTGGGGCTCGCGCAGGGCGCAGGCTGCAGCGTCGACCTCTCCAGCAGAGCGCACCTGGGGTCGCCACGACTGAAGGAGGAAGGGCTACGGCGAAGGAGGTGGGATATAGAAGAACACTCGACGTGGAGATGATGCAGAGACGAGGGGAGGCGAATGAGCGAGGAAGAACTCTCCCTCTCTCTCTCTCTCGCTTTCTCTGCCTCCTTCTCTCTCTGCCTCTCTTTCTGTGTTTGTTTGTTTGCTTGGTTTCACTCTCTCTCTCTCTCTTTCACACTCTCCCTCTCTCCCTCTCTATCTCTTCTCCTCCTCTCTCTCCTGAACAGCGTGTAAACGCGACTTCGCGACTTCGCCGTCCCACTCCTTCTTTTCCTCCGTGAAACTTCAAGGGTAAATGGGGAGGCTGTGCCAGCCTGGGCCCAATGAGTGGTGGATGCCTTGCGCAAGGTAGCTCGGCGGTGCCCTCCGCAGCCCTTTGGGGCCTGCCATACCCCAGTGAGTCACTGAACGACCCGACGGGTTCCGAGCCCTCTGGTGCAGGCCTTGTAGAGTTGTCTTTTGGCCCTGGAGTGCGCCAGATGCCTCTGTGTCGGACAACTAGTGGAAAGACTCTGGTCTGGGCCGTCGTTCGAAGAAGCAAGGGAGGATGAGCAAGCGTGTGCAACGGAGCCCCCAACGCCTTCGCGATGCCGACTCTGACCCGGTTCCCGTATCCGTCCTTACACCGACGGGGTCCTCGCGGACGCTGGAAGGCTTCGGCCAAGAACGGGCGCCGATCTCGGTGTGAGCGGCCGAGTGCCCCGGGGACATGGCTTCCGGTTCCCAGCATCCTGGGCTCCTCTGTCCCAGGGTGCCGCCAGCCAGGGCCCTGGGGCCTCGACAGCCCACGCAGGGCGGAGAGCACAGGGCACCCTGGGTGAGAGGTGTGGAGGGTCGGGGCCGACAAGAGACACGTGGGGAGATAAGAAGGTGGAGAGCAAGAGAGATCAGCTATACAAGCGGGAGGGTACAGAACATGAACAATAGTCCCAAAATGCTCCATCATGGTCAACGATAGTCGAAAGATCCACCCCAGACGATTGCTTCTACCATCTTTTTGGAGATTCATGCCTGTAGAGGGACGTGCCCGACTTAACCCTATGTCGGGCGGGGCGGGGTGCACCATCAGGTCCCATATCGGCCATCAGTTGGCGATTAGCGAACGACACATTGCCCCCCTCGACGGCCGATGTTATACCAGCTTTTTCTCCTTCGGCGCACAGCAGGGCTCCCCCCAAAAAAAGCTCTCTGGCCGCGGGGGGCGCGCCAGCCACTGCTCCAGCTCGTGCCGCGTGGGCCACACGTCCTCGGTGCCCTCCACCATCGCGGACGGGGCCCAGCGGTCTTCTGGCCGCGCCCAGTGCGGTTGGGTCGGGCGAAGGGGGGGGCGATAGTTCACAATGAGACGCTCAAGCCGCCCGACCTGTGGGACGCTAGAGCGTCTCTACACCGAACTCCTTCGCCGCACTCCTTGGCCCCCTGGCCGAGCAAACGACGTGGTGTCCGGTCGGGAGCTTCTTCTGCTCAGCGTGTCGGAGGCGGCGTTCCCAGGCGACGCGCTGTGTCCTGCGAGCCGACGGCATGAAAGCTCCGCCTCGTGTGCGAGCAAACTTTGCATCCATGTCCAATGCGTCTTGGATTTTCGGGCTCCCTACTTCCGATATCAGAGGCGCCGTGGACCTGGATCAAGCAATTTCGCCCCCAGAGGTGAGATTGTTATCCATATCCGCTGCGCCGCGGCCCGTCGGCGCCCCTTCCCAGAAAAAGTCAAAGACGCAGCGGATGTGGATATAAATCGTGCCCGCATCGTTCGGGTCGGGCGAAAGGGGGGGAGGGCAAAGGGGGGGTTGAGAATCAGCTCACGTAGCGGATTTTCCCGGCGCCTCCCGGCGCCGGAGGCGACTATGTATCGGGGAATGGGCCCCTCGATGAGGCCGAAACCAGCTGCATGCAGCAAATGTTGTAACCCCCCCTTTCCCAACCCCCCCCCTTTCGTCCGGCCCGAATTGTGGGGCGGAAAGCTGGGAAAGGCTCGGGACGATGACGCCCAGGGGCCAGGACGTGCTTGGCGCGTCGCGCAGAAGCGTGGTGGGCCAGAACGGGCGGCCCGTCACGCTGACCAGAAGCTCCGGAACGTTGTGTGTACATCGAGCCCTTCCGAGAGGCCCCCCTATGGTAGCGCGCATCCAACTCTGGCCCAGGCTGGCCACGGCATCTTGCACCCGGCCTCCTGGCAGGGGCGGGCAACCACGCGCGAACCCTACGCCTACAGGTCGGAGTTCTGAAACGCCGGCCCGTGATCAGAATCCGAAGGATGCCTGCGGCCAAGCGAACCCCAGCGGGGGTGCCCGATACCCCAGCGTCAAGATCGAATGGTCTTCAAATTCCACACAACGCCCGTGACCGGCGCCACCCCCCCCCCCTCACGGGCAGGTGGTGATGGGGGGTGACCGAATTGGGGGGGGGGGGGGGCACGTTATAGGGCTGGGCCCCTGCTGGCTCCCAACGAGGCCCGAAAAGGCCCCTGGAGGGCCCTTCTCTTCACCCCCCAATGGGGTCACTCCGCCATCCTCCTCCTCCTCCCCTCCTCCTCCTCCTCCTCCTTCTCCTCCTCCTCCTCCTCCCCCTCCTCCTCCTCTCATCCTCCTCCTTCGTTCCTCCTCCTCTCCTCCTCCTCCTCCTCCTCCCCACCCGCCCGACCCTCCCCCCCCCCCCCCCCTGGCCACGTCACGAGTCGCGCCGACGCCGTCGGGGAATTGGGCCACCCCTGGGCATTCCTCGGCGGCGCTGGCTGGAATCGTGACGCGACGCCCCCCCCTCCCCCAGTCACGCCTGCTGTCGCCAGGAGATGCGGTTAGGTCGAGCATGTCCTCCTACAGGGAGATGTTGGAAGACATGTTGCGACTAGCCAAACAGATTCCAAACACCATTCAAAATAGTGGCAACATCGTTCTCAAACTTGTTTTTGACTATGTTTGAATTTGCCGCCTGTATGGGGACAGGCCAGACTCAAGACATGGTCTCAAATTGAACCCGCATGGGTAGGGCTCGCCACTCCCAGACCCCCGACATCATGATCTTTTCACGACGTCGACCCGCAGAGGTTTCGACCCTATTCCCTGGGGCCGGCTTCTCGTCCTGAGTCGGTTGTTGACAACCCCGAGGCGCGATAAGGGCCCCCAGAGCCCGAGAACAGCAACAAGCCTCCCGTCGTGTTCTGTTCCTGACTCGACGGGGTCTGGGTTGGTCGCAGGAGGTGAGCAGGGACCGACCGTCCCGGCATTCCTTCAGGCCTACCGCGGAATGCTCTTAGAACCCCAAACAGCTCTAAGAACAAAAACGACGCTCTTGGATCAAAAACCCGGCGTGCTAAAAAAAGCCAGTCTCAGCCAGAAATGTTCTGAGAACATGTCGTGCAAACCACAAAAGTCGGGCCGGGCGAAAGGGGGGGATAGCAAAGGGGGGGGGAGAATCAGCTCAAGTAGCTGATTTTCCTGGCGCCTCCCGGCGCCGGGGGGCGCCCATGTATCGAGGAATGGGCCCAGCGGCGGGGCCTAAACCAGCTGCATGCAGCAGATTTCGTACCCACCCCCATTCCCTACCCAGACATGCGACGTCCTGATTTTTTCAGGACGGCCCCCGGAAATCCCGACCCATTCCCCAGGACCGGCTTTTCATCCTGAGTCGTTTTTTGACGGCCCCAGGGCCCGACGAGGGCCCCCAGGGGCCGAAAATAGCGAACAACTGGCCGTCCTTTCTTTTGACGACGCGATCGTGTCCGGGTATCCCCCCCTTCCCTGTGCCCCCCTTTCGCTCGGCCCGAAGAAGGTTCTGAGAACACTCCTTCGGGTGTTGCTAGAAGTACCCCTGGCCCAAGGTGCCCCCAGCCTTTCGCTCCGTTTGGGAGCCCCTGGGGCCCTTTGGGCCCTGCAAAGGGTGCCCTAGAGGCCGCCTGTGCCTCCCTGAGAATCCTGGGGGTACCTTGGGGCCAGGGGTACTTCTAGCAAAACCCGCTTCCTTGGCGGGCCTACCAGCGAGCCCCTTCCCCCGGACCGGCTCTTCATCCCGAGTCGTTGATTTTGACACCCCGGGGCCCGGCGAGGGCCCCCATGGGGCCGAAAAGAGCGAACAACTGGCCGTCCTGATTTTCTCAATACGTCGGAGGTCTGGGTACCCTGAGATCCGACGTTGCAAAAAAATGCAACATCGCCAAAACCACGCCCGGAGACCCAGACCTCATCTTTCCGCGTCATTTTTCGAGCCCGCTCGATCTGTGAGGGTCCCGGGGCCTGAAATCGAGCGAAAACGCCCGTGGCAAAAAAAATGCGACGCCAGGATCTCAGGGTATGCCCCCCTTTCGCTGGGCGGGCCCGCCGAAGAATGTTCTCACAGTGAGAACCTTCCTCGGCGGGCCCACCCGGCGAGCCGGAACGCCTCGGCGCTGCTCGAAGAGCACGGGGCGGCTGGGTCGTGCGCGCCGCCCGAGGGGGCCCGGTTGTTGGCGCGGCCCCCGGCCTCAGCGGGAGAGCTCGGCGCCCCGGAGGAGGAGGAGGAGGAGGAGGAGGAGGAGGAGGAGGAGGAGGAGGAGGAGGAGCAGGAGGAGGAGTAAGGAGGAGGACGAGGAGGACTGTAGGAGGAGGAGGAGGAGGAGGAGGAGGAGGAGGAGGAGGACGAGGAGGAGGACGAGGAGGAGGAGGAGGACGAGGCCGAGGTCGTGCTCTTTCTGCGCATGATTCGAGCGGGCCTGGCTCGGTCGCAGGAGGGGGCGGCCAGGAGCACCGCTGGGGGGGGGTCTGGGCGCGAGGGCGCGGAGCCCCGGCCATGCCCTGCGGCAGGGCTGCGGCAGGCGGCGGCGCCCGCCTCGAGCCCGCGCGGCGCGGAACGCTCTCGGGCGCCGGCGGCCGGCCCAGAAAGCCGAGGCTGCAGCCGGGAGCTGGAGGAGGGGCGAGCGCGCCCCCCCACTCGCAGAGTAGCTGCTCGCAAATGGCCCAGAGCCTCCGCGGGGGATACCCACGACGAGTTGCATCGGAAACGGCCATGCGCTGTTCGGACGCTTCTTGCGAGTAGGCACGCACTTTCTGCGAGCAGTGGCGCGCGCTCGGCGGGAGGAGGGCGCCGGGAGCACACTGGGAGCCGGGGGCCCCTGCCCCCTCGAGGAGTGGCAGAGAAGCACGGCGGGAGGTTTCTGCGCCACTGCCGGCCCGCCCCTGCCCGGACCGCGGGGCCGTCAACAGAAACGGCTCGGGAGGAAGCGCCGGATCGGGAAGCAGCAGGCCGAGGCCTCGGGGGGTGGACGTCGGGGGTCTGGGGATCCAAACCCAGACATGCGACGCCCTGGTGTGTTCAGGACGGCGCCCCCCGAAGTCCCGACCCCTTCCCCGGGGCCGGCTTTTCGTCCTGATTCGTGTTTTGACGGTCCCGAGACCCGGCGAGGGCCCCCCGAGGCCGAAAATAGCAACAACAAAAAACCGGCGTCCTTACTTTTTTACGATGCGATCATGTCTGGGAACACATCTACTGTCAACGACCAGCGCGCAGTTTCTCGGCGGTTCCCCGCCCTCGGGCCGCGCTTCCAGCGGCTGCGCCTCGCCGAAGGCTTCTCCCGGGGGTGCCCGGACGGCCGCCGGAGAACGGCCCCCCCCAAAAACAAGCTCGGCGGCCCGCGAGGGAGCCCCCGCCGCGAGGGGGAATAGCGAGAAGGAGAGAAGGCCCGTACATGGACATTGTATTCGAACCCTGTGGCCCAAGATGCCCCCCAGACCCCCCGAAATTAACACTGATGGCGTGGCGACGGGGGGGCGTGATGTGGACAGACAGATTCGAACCCCAAGTCACCGCCTTGACTGAGATCAACATTGATGTCGGGGGCGCGGGGGTGATTTAGAATCTCCCTCGAATATGTAGGGGTTCGAATATATTGTCCATCTACTGGCCCTCTCGGAAATCGGCGGAACTTCTCATGGAACGCACAGGGACGTGCTAGTACGATGTGTCCTCCTTGGAGGCGTGCGTCCGACCTGGACGTGTAGCATAACCATCCTGTAGTGCATCGTTTCCCGAGCGGTGCGGCCAGAAAGAGCCCGCCACGACGCATATACTATGAGATTTCTCGGTGCGCGCGTCGGCCATGGGGGGCGACGCACACATAGTATTAATATGTCGGGGTGACGCCGATTCTCGTCCTCCGGGGGCCCTCGTCGGGCCTCGGGGGAAAAAGACGACCGGGGACGAAAAACCGGCCCTGGGGAAGTGGTCCGGACCTTCGGGATCCAACAGACATTGGCGATTCTTGCCCGTCTTCTGGGGCGCGGAAGGACATGCCAGTACAGTGTGGCCTCCTTGGAGACGCGCGTCCGCCCTGAACGAGGAAGGAGGAGGGAGGAGGGAGGAGGGAGGCATGTAGTAGGGGGGAGGAGGGAGGAGGAAGGCATGTAGTAGAACCATCCTGTAGTGGATCGTTTCCCGAGCGGCACGGCCAGAAGGCGCCCGCCACGCCGCTCAAATACTGCGAGAGCTCTCGGCGCGCGCAAGACGCACAACATCAGTGTGCTGGGGCGGCGCCCCTTTTCGTCCTCGGGTAGGGGCCCTCGTCGGGCCTTGCAAGGGGCCGTCAAAAAACGGCCCGGGGCGAAAACGCGGCCCTGCAGGGGAAGTGGTCTGGACCTTCTGGGGCCCACGCACCGAACAATGGAAGCAGCCAGATGTGCGGGGACGGCTCCCGGATTGAGGCCACGCGTCACCAGGCTGCGGGGTGACGGTGGGGGAGGGGGGACTGCCACGGGAGGGGGGGGGGAAGCATCGACCTGGAATCGGCAGGAGATCGAGGACAAATCGGCGGTTGGCCCCCGATAGCGAATCCGCACGCTCCTGGGCGGGCGGGAGGGGGGGAAGCCGCTGTCGAGCCCCCAATCGGCGAGGATGGGCGAGCAGGGGCCGGTGCACCCCCCCCGTGGGCCTGTATATCTGACCTGCCGTGGCCCCTGGCGGTCGAGGCCACGAGCCACCGGGGCGGCGGCCACAGAGGGGGTGCTGGCGCGAGGGGGGCGGCCTTCCGGGAAGGCGGGGCGGCTGCTCGGAAGGCCGGGGCCTCTCGGTGAGAAGGTCCCCCCGAGGCGGGCGGGCGTCGAGGCCGCGCCAGCTGGAAGGGGCCCCGGGACACACAGCGAGGTAGGCACAGAGGGCAGGATCCCCCAGATCTTCCCAAAGTAGTTTCTGGGTCCTTGACTAGAGGCCTCCTAGATGGGGTCGGAGCAGATGGGCTCGGAGGATCGCGCCGCATCGCCAATACATCGGCGATGCATCGTCGACGCATCGGCGATGCGTCGGCGATGCAACGGCGACGCATTGCCGACGTCGCCGATGCATCGGCGACGTCGACGAGAAGCAAATCGGGCTCCGCATCGAGCTGCATCACCGATGCATCGGCGATGCGGCGCGATCCTTCGACCCCATCTGTTCCGACCCCATCTGGGGGCCTGGATTGACCGCCCCCCCCCACTGCCCATATTTTCCCACATGTTCTCTGGGGGGTCGACGATGACTTGTGTCTGTGTGTTTTTCCTTTCCCTCCTGACATCTGGCTTCTCCGAGGAGCCCGAAGCCCAGACCCCTCGAGCCCTGAAACAAAAATTCACGGCGGGCGGTCTTGCGCCATGACCAGCCCCTGGGGGCCCGCGCCGCGTCTCGGGGCCTTCGGAAAGGGACTCGGGATGAAGAGCCGGTCCCGGGGAAGAGGCTCAGACCTCGGGGGGTCGGCGCAATAAAAAAATCATGACGCCAGGGGTCCGGGGAGGTACCGATACCGCTTTTCCCCAGGCCTCTCCGGGGCTGTCTGACCAGAACTTCCAGGCGAACCCAGCAGCGGCGACGAGGGCCTCCCAGGAAGCCCAAGGAAGGGGAAAACGAGGGAAGGGTATAGCGGTATGGGTATCTCTTCCTTCTCCGAATCTCCTCCTGCTCCTGGACTTCCCCCTCCCCCGTCAAGATCACTCAAGATCTAATCGGGAAATCAGATCGAGCCAGAACGTGCGTCGGATCGGGGGCTGCATCGGCACGGAGTCTAAGTCGAATCGGATCGGCCGCGCCAGCACCGCCGAGACCTGCGCCTAAGTGTGAAATGGTCGACGTAGTGTTTTTGTTTAACGTACTGTTTTACGCAGTGTGTTTGCATCGTGTAGTTGCGTAGTGTTTTTTACGTCGTGCTTTATTACGTAGTGATTTCACGTAGTGATTGTACGTAGTCTTTTTGCGTATTGTCTCTGTGTGTGTGTCTGTGTGTGTGTGTGTCTGTGTGAGTGTGAATGTGTGTGTGTGTGTGTCTGTGTGCGCGTGCGTAGTGTTTCCGCGTAAGTAAAATCTTTGCATCGTGTGTTGCGTCGTGTGTTTGCGCAGCGTCGCATTTGCGCACACTGTTGTGGCGTCCTGCTTCTGCGTGGGTATTTGCGTAGAGCTCCCGTGTAGGATTTTTGCGCCGCCGTTTGGCATGGAGTACTTGCGTAGATTGTTGCGAAGTATACTCGCGTAGTGTTAATCGCGTGAAGTAGTTCGCGCAGCGAATGGACGTACTGCTTTCGCGTGGAGTCAGCTCTCCGCGTCGTGTTTTCGCGTCGCGCTTTCGCGGCATGCGTTTCCACGATCGACCGACGAACTCGGACAGGGATTCGGAACTGCGAGGCCTGTGGACGCCCCCCAACGCCTCAATCGGGGGCGATGGGCAGTGGCAGTGCCAGAGATGTCCTTGGGGCCACTGCTGTGCCGAGGGCTGTGTCGTGCTTTTTCTGCGCTGTGCCGCGCCGCACTTTGACATGAAAGGGGACGCGCTACATAGTGTGTCTGCGTGATGTATTTGCGTAATCCGCCGGCCCCCTTGTGGGGCCACCAGGCTGTAGGCCCGTGATTCGCAGTTTCCTGTACCAGTCGTAGGTTGTAGTTTCCAGTGTTACAGTTCTGCTTCTTGCTGGTTACTGTAACTACTTGACTTATTGCTGGTTACTGTAACTAGTTGATTGACCGCGCGAGGGGGGGGAGGCCCAAACCGGCTTTTTAGCACCCCCTGGGCGCGTTGTCTGAATTGCTGGGGGGGCTCGAAATCGACACCCCTCACGCAGATCCGCGGGGTCCAGGGGTCTGAAAAGTGCACACACGCAGGATCAAAAACACAAGGGATTTGCCACATTTCTGAAATTCGGTGCCACCCCTCACGCAGATCCGCGGGGTCAGGGTCCAAAAACACATAGGGATTTGCCACATTTCTGAAATTCGGTGCCACCCCTCACGCAGATCCGCGGGGTCAGGGTCCAAAAACACAAGGGATTTGCCACATTTCTGAAATTCGGTGCCACCCCTCACGCAGATCCGCGGGGTCAGGGTCCAAAAACACAAGGGATTTGCCACATTTCTGAAATTCGGTGCCACCCCTCACGCAGATCCGCGGGGTCAGGGTCCAAAAACACAGGGGATTTGCCACATTTCTGAAATTCGGTGCCACCCCTCACGCAGATCCGCGGGGTCAGGGTCCAAAAACATAGGGGATTTGTCACATTTCTGAAATTCGGTGCCACCCCTCACGCACATCCATCGCAAGGCGTGGTAACCCAAACTGCGAGTACTCCCTCGGCCCTTTAATCCCAAGTGTGGTAACCAAGCTCGTAAACCATACACGTCTTACCAATCGCCCTGTGTGGTAACCCCTCTTGTGATCAGTTGGTTTTTGCCGATTGCGAATCGGCCTCGCATGAAGTTCCGATACTGCTGCACGACAGCGCCAAAGCCTCATGACTTAGCTCTTCCATGGCCCATTCTCCGAGAGAGGGGGCCGGCGGCAGGGGGCGAAGCCCTTACGGATGTGTTTACGCAGCACGTTTCGCGTAGCGGACGGACGAAGTATCATCGCGTGGAGT